TCTTTCAGGGCAATGTCAATAGATTCTGTATATAATGTTTTCATTTCGAATGCATGTATTCACTTAAAAACAACCATGTCATAGGTACTGAAATGTCTTACCAAGGGTAATGAAATAATTAGTTAAAATTTCAAAAATAATGAAGACGAAGCCACTTGTCTTAACACTTTACATAACAGTGACAAATGGAATATAAATCTAACTTGCCTCACCTTGACGGTTTTTCCACAAAGGGATGTTATCAATAGCTATAGATGTGGTGAGGTTTGAATGTAAAGGAGCTCTTGTCTCATGGCTTCTTAATGGAAAATGTGTAAACTTGAATTTTATTCGTTAAGGAAATGTTCTTCTTCATGTGTATTTCATGTAGACTGAGGAATAAAACTAGAAACAGGGTGCCTGAGTGAGGCCTGTGGCTGGGCCAGAGCGTGAGGATTACATGTGCAAAGCCCTGGGGTCAGTGTCCAGCCCAGAAGGGAAACAGGGCAGCCTGCGTGAGCCCAGCAGCCCAGCTCCTGCTTGGCTTCAAGGCTGTTATTTCTAATTCTGTCCTGGTGAAAGGAACAGACATCTTATTCCCATGTTATAGTATTTGGAAACTTTAAAGAAATAAATAGTTGGAAAAATACAATTCGCTTTTAAGAAATAATTAAAAATGTAATTTTTCTTTTTCAGGGGTGTTTGGTTGGTGTTTATTTCCTTTGGGTTTTTTATTTTATTTAGGTTGTTTTTTGTTTTGTTTTGTTTTTTACCAACTATCCTTCTGCAGCCCAGGCTGCTCTTGAACTCAAGACCCTCCTGCCTCAGCCTCCCAAGTGCTTAGATGACAGACAGGCAGGTTTTCATAAGGGTTGTTTTGTTTTGTTTTTCCAATACACTGATTCACCATAGAGTTAAACTGTGGTGTTTGATCAGTTCACCTTTTCCAAATCGCTAAAACGTGATCGCACTTCAAAGTCTAAGCAGAAGAAATGATACTGAGTGACTGGCACAGGTTGGTGCCCAGAAATATCTACCCCTCCCTTCTTTGTCTCTCCTGTCCTCTGTCTTCAGTAAAAGCCAACTTTTCCGGCTACTGGCTCAAAGAAGTTAGGGTAACTTCGTTAACATATTTTGAAAAATAAGAGCAGACTACAGACATTGGTTAATTAATGTATATCATTAATTATACTGCACTTACTATTTCTCAGAGAGAATGCTTTGTGCTAGATAAAAGCGTATTTTTATAGTAGAGTCTAAATTAATTTATATTTATTCTAGTTTGGAGCATAAGACTATGCCCATGTACACTCTGTCGTATCTTAGGAGCTATCATCTGAGACACTGTTGTGCTGTGGGCAAACTAATGTTGGAAGAACTACTATGTAACATTTGGCAACAGTAATTGATCAAGTAGTTAAACTGCCATCCTTCCTATCCTACTTAAGTTGAACTTCCCAGACACATCACAGGGACATTTAAAAGGTTTAAATACTTCATTGCATTTGCCAAATAGTTCATGGAATGAAATCACTTCAAGTTAACATGTTTTCAATAAAAGTATCTTTCCCTTTTAGTTTCCCAGATGACTTTCTTCCGAAATGTCTTTCTCTGTCCCTCGAGTATTTTGTGGTTGCCATAGCTGTTACATGAAAGCTCTCCACGATCAGGTCTGGATGGGTGTTCACTTAGAAAGCACAGCCATGCCATGTCTGCCTCTGCTTAAAAAAAAAAAAAAAATCCTCAGCTCTCCCGAAATGCCAAAGCTGTGCATCAGGAAGGGCGAGAAACGGATAACTTCGGGAGGACAACGAAGCCATCACTGCAACGAGACGGAGATAAACATCCAAGTACAGTTGGGTTAACGTGAATGCTTATGCTTATTAGTGGGAGGGAATGGACAGAGCACTGCCAGCGTTTTCACTTTGGGTTGTCTCAACTTCAGTTTTCATAAGAGTCGTGTTAATAAAGGTTCATAGTATTTGACGGGTATTAAATAAGTCAGTGACGCCAGTTTCTAATCAGCCCAGACAACACCACGATTTAGGAAGGCAAGATGTACGCTGGAATCTGATCTCATAACTGTCTGGCGCTGATGATTTTAGAAGGAAATGTAACAGTCTGTTACTCCCCGTTCACCCAGTTTGTTAAAATGTGTGTGTGTGTGTGTGTGTGTGTGTGTGTGTGTGTGTGTGTGTGATATTTCCAAAAGAAAATTCAGCCCTAGTTTGTGGTTCTGGTGACTTCTCTGACATTCTTCTGTGTCCATCTTCACTTACAAATCTGATTTCCCTGATTTCCCTGCTTAAAAGTTTATGATTGAACATATGTATGTCTGTGTTTATCTTGGCCTTAGCATATTCACTATGTAGAAAAGGGACCTCATTTTAATCTTCAGTTGATAAATAGAACGTTAATTTATTGAATTGACACAAGCCATTCTGGAGATTAAATGTGTGGGAATATAAATAGAGTGTTTCCAAAAAACACAGAGATTTGATTTTAATTCAGAGAGTCAGCAAGCAGAGACTCTTAAAGGGACTGTAGCTCTTCAGACACTGATGGGGTTTAAAATACAGTAAGTCGATAGGATTGTCCTGGATGATCAGAAATGTTTACTATTTTTGTGTCGTTAAAAAAATGATTGTACCAAAAATCCAATGACTGTATATAGTTTCTGCTTGTCACCTTCGGTTGAGGAACAGCGATGTTTAAGGCTGATTATTTCAAGTGAAGTTTAATGCCATGTACTTCATGCACGTATCAGTAGACAATGGTCATTGAGAGCTGGCAGACAGTCCGTCTGCCTTTTACGTCCATCATAGCCTGAGACAACACAGTAGTGTATAAGCCATGAGTTGCTGCCGAGAGCTGACTGTGCTCTGTCCTCTGGATGAGGGCGTTGGACCAGCTAGGTCTTTAGATCTTCGGATGGATGTGGTTCTCTAAGTGTGAAGTATATACACTCAACAAGATTCACTAAACAGAAGGGGTAAGCAGACAGCTAGCTTCTGGGATTTCCAATCTCCATAAAGTATGAACCGACTCAGACTCTCTTCTGCGGGAAGCTATTTGGCCTGTTACTATTTTGATAATGAAAATAGGCAGCTTACACAGTTCGATCTTGGCCTTCTAGAAACAAATACAACACACGAATAAACAATATGAGATTGTAAATCTAGTCCCTCCCATATCTTTGAGAATGACTACAAAGAAAAAAACTGAAATGTACGTCATTTCTTAAGATCGGAGATTTTCACAAAGGCCATCCATGCTTGATAGGTTTGGCTAAAGAGGTGTTTGCTTTCTGGCCAGCCTAAACAGCTGATGCTCGGATAAAATGTGCATGTTCCTTTCAGATCTGACGGATAAATTTCTCAAAGTTCACACGTGCACATCTTCTCATCATAATACATCCACTCAAAGGGTATGAGAAACTCGGATGCATCCCTCTCGCCGGCAACCTGTTAGTTTCCTAACTCTTTGCCTTTCTTGGCATAAGTCTATCCTTCCTCCGGCCAGGCAGAGTAGAGATTCCATCAACGTTCAGGGAGGGTAGAGCTGCACACTACAGTCTTACCCGGAAACCATACCAGGGCATTCTCTCGCCATCTGTCCTACCCTTTATTAGTCGAAGATATCCACAAATCCTTTGGTAAATGCCCATTTACCTTGCCCTCTTGGACTGACTGATCTCGGTAAACAACCGCACTATTAGCAGAGACTGGAGAGCTTCGTTGACTTCAGCCACGTCAAATCCAATTTTGATCCTAATTCTGAATTTCGGACAGAATTACGCTTATGTCTTACTACGCTCTCTCTTAAATACTTGATGTTTCCTGGTTTACTGTCCAGAGGAACAGAAGTAGGCGTCACAAATATAACTTTAAATAGCAAATCGTAACACGGTTAACATAGCCACCAACTCCTACTCTGGGTGTCTGAGTCTTTAAAAGAAAATCCTCTGCTAAATCTCTTATTCTCCTTAAAGAATGTTTAAGAGCTTTGTGTTGTGATAACTACGACAGAAAAGCCAGCAATTCGATGAGCCTCGGTGGTTTATTTTATCTCAGTTTTACAAGTCTGTTCTAAATTTCATTTTAAAGGTACAGCGCAGGCTTCTCCTCCCTGTTTCCATTCCCTTGGCTTGGTCGCTTGCTCCGTAAGTAACTCGCTAGCATTTTACAGCAGCGGAATTTAACCGGTAGGGCTCCCCTGAGAGACCGTATCTACAGGGACAGGCCACAGTGGCTGGAGAACACTGGACACAGTGACGAGGTCTTCGGTCCCTCTGACCAGCTCTCCCCACCCCCCTCCCTCTCTGGAGTCACAAAAGGCAGCTGAGTTCGCAGGTGGAAACAACAAGTTGCGCCATGGATCCAAGCAATCTACTCAGGTAGCAAGCAGGGTCCCTGGCTCAGTTGGAGTCTCGGTTGCCAGGAGAACTAGGAACCACCAAACCTGGTTCAACCACATGCGTAAAAGTGCTTTTGCTGCCTGACAGAAGGAAAATGACGCAGAGGGGAATGGACCCACAGAACAGCAATCGCTGTACTCCCTTCCTGCCCTCTGTCTCGGTGCCTGCTGGAGAGCCTGAGGGTTCACCGTATGTGCCCTAAGACCCTGCCATTTCCATCCTATCCTAACGCTTGGGAGGCAGAACACAAGCACCAAGCTCCCTAGCACCGCGGGCGGAGAGGCTGATCCTTTGTTTACCATGTAAGTCACACCAGGGGTTCGCTCCTCGCCCTCACCCACCACTGCCTTACAACGCGAAGCAGAGAGAGCCTGGGAGCGCCCCCAAACTCCTCCTCAACCCGGATCACCCAAAAGAAAGCTTCGCAGAAACCTTTCCCCGAACCTTAAAAAGCAACCAAGCTGCTGCACCCTAGTGACTCGTAACCCCTAAGGGATGCCCGCCTCCCGAGAGGGAGCCTGCTTCCCAGGAGGCTTGGGAAACTTAACTGGTATCCCATTTGCGTGGCCAGCGTCTGGAGCGCGGAGGCTGCACCCTCTCTTACCTGCAAAGTTGCAATCCGGTGGCTGAAGTGACAGAGGTGGGCTTGGCTGGCGCGCGGCACCAGTGTTGCGCCCCGTGCTAGCGCAGCCGGTCAGTTCCGATGGGGTTTTTCGTAGTCGCTGCCGAGTTTTGGAGCATTCCAAGGGGAAAAAAACCCGCACGAAGCCGGAGCCCACGCAGCTGGCACGGAACTGGGCGGAGTGAGGATGCTGGAGAGCCAGAGCAGGGGCGCGGGGGAGGGGCGGCCCGGGAGGAGGCGGGGTGCCCAAGACTACAGCCTCATCCGCCCGGCTCTGATGCTCTCCCCCCCACAGACAAAGTTGCGTTCCCAAGGGGGGCACAGAGCAGCCTGAAGGACCGCCCCCACCCACCCTGGGTCGGCCCGACTGCCGCGGATATGCATCCCACGCACCTCTCCAAGAGCGGGTGGCAAGGACCCACACACCGCGATGCTCCTCTCCGGGAGCATCGCTCCAGGTCAGCCAGTGGGCAGGGTGACCGGCCGCATTCCCTCTGTTACCCAGCTAAATTGGTGGCCAGGACCGGACTCCTAGGTCTAGTATGCCTGGCAGACACGAGTTTGAGTTTAGGTGGTGCCCCGCAAGGGGTGCAGAACTTCACTTAGCAACCCTACCCAAATCTGGAAAGCACTGTTCCCACCGTAGTAAACAAGCACCCGTGCAGCGCGGGTCAACCGGTAGAGCAAATTATTTATCAACCCCCTACCCAGCCCCTGCAACTCTGGTCGCTGCCCTGGACTTCTGGCACCCCCTCTCCTGTCCTCAAGGTGTCACACTTCCCTTGCTAGTTAGTGCAGGGATGTGGCTTGCCACTCCTGTGTCAACAATCCAGACAGTGGCAATAAATAAATGATAAACCACAGCGTCCCGTCCACTCCTACCCCGCTCTCTCTCAACAGCTGGCACAGGCACTCGGCACGTCTTCCATATACTTAATCCCAAATCACGTAGCAACCTGGGACCTGCAGGTCCCAGCGGCTGCGGGTGCCTGGTGCCGGGGCATGGGTGCCTGGATTCAGCCTATCTCTAACTTCTACCTGGAGATCTCAAGATACAGGTTACCTTTTGGTCTGTGTGTGTAGTGTTCACAGACAAAAATAAGATCAAAGTAAAGAGGTGGAAAATTACCTGTAGCTTACCACACTCACACTCAGGGACCGACCATTGATTGGTCATGACCCCAAGACTAAGGGAAAACCTTGACAGTGCATTTGTAAAACAACGCAGCCTCCTCCCAACCCTCTGCTTCTAGGTTTCTTTTAGGGGCGTGCGGTGAGCTCCCTACTTGCCTGTGGCATCCCAGCGGCAAGCATTTCCTTTTCATTTACTCGTTCCATGTCTCTGAAGTTCAGATGAGTGGAGGATTTGGGGGGGGGGGTGTTGTTTTGTAAAGGGTAATTACAAAGCAAGGAGCATTTGCTGGCTTACTCATTGGAATGAAGGGCCCGGTGTTTGGGGTTGTTTTTCTTTTCAAAATGCTGTTCATAACTGTCAATTATTCATTCTTCCTAACTAACTGCTCTTCTCATGGGTCAGCATGACCCCTATTCTGATCTTGAGGAAACACAGTCCGCAGGCCATCCCACAGAATACCGAGGCCTTTACAACATACTAAACAAACCTGTACCAGAAAACCAGAGGAACAACAGAATAATTCCCTTCCTTCCCTGAATCTCCTTTACAGTTTGTCACAAATATGTGTCAACATTTGCAGGTAGTTTTCTTTTATTAGTTTTAAACACCGGGTTTCATATCATATGCAAAAAACATTTATCTATAGACATGCCAATGAACTTGACAATAGATCTAAACCCATTTTGTATCGAACAAGAAAAGGAAAACAGAGAGAAAGAGAGAGAGAGAGAGAGAGAGAGAGAGAGAGAGAGAGAGAGAGATCTGCTTTGTGTGGTACAACTGAAATTATTTTTTAAATTCTTCATGAAACCTGTTTTCTCAATGTTCAATAAATGTATAAGAATCAAAAGTGAAGCTGACAATGGTTGGGGGAATGTTTCAGCTAAAACTAAGTCCTAAGGGCTGTGAGGAGTGTTGGCCCTTATGACATCTTTAAAGATACTTGAGGAAAAAAAAAATACGAATTGAGGACAAGACTTTAGATCACCTGCACACCCCTCTCAGGGTTCTTCTTCATAGCAGAATTTTTATCACGCTATCAGAGGAAGACATTTTACTAGTCATCCCTAAATTGTTATTTTTCCCGGAAGAAAGATGACTGTGAGTCCACAATAAAAACAAAATAGGGAAAAAAAGGAGAAAAACCACAACAATCACAAACTGCACACAGTGCTTGATCTTAGAGGGCTGTGTTCCCCTGGAAGGAAGAGCCATTGAACACAAACCCTCCTCCTCAGCGGCATGGGTGATTATTGATTAGGGAGCTCATGACACACAAAACGATCAGCAATTATACAACAACAACAAAAGCCTACAAACTGAAGTCTATTTAAACAGTCTGGTTAGATGAATATCAGCAGCACTCTATTGACTTTGATCCATTACAGATAGCGTGTTATCATTTGAGAAAACTGTAAGTCCTTAAAATGTAGCTTGGCGAGGCCAAAGAAATTTATACTCAAATGGATTTGCTTATTTAAAATTCAGTTTTATCCTGGAAGCAAAGACCTGTATTTTGAGATCTGTATTTTGTTTACAGTCATTTTAAGTTCACAAGTAAGATATTCAACTCTGCAGGGCAAGTTCAAGTCCTAGGACATTAGCCTAGTGAGACCTGCAGGCACCAGGCTTTTAGATACAATTAGCATTTTCTTTGATATTCAACAATTACAGACCCTCAGTATTTACTTATCAGCTAGGGACATCTTCAAGCCTGAATTCTAGCAGACCTGACACCCTCCCCTCTGCATTGTTCCTTTGCTATATAACAACTTCTGGGAAATAATAAAACACGGTTTGATCAGAAATACTGTCTTGCCTTCATTTCTCGTGTCTCTTGCTCTTCCATTTCTCTCCCTAGGTTTATCAGGGGACCCCGTTCATATCCTGCTGGCTGGGATAGTTTTAATGTTTGATTCAAAAACACAAGAAAGTACTCTTGTTTTCAAATTAGCAACAGAAAGTAGACTAAGCAATGATAGTGTTAAGACAATCGTCTATGCGCGGAGAGCAACAATTAATAAATGGGGACTTCTAAAACTGAGAAGCTTTTGTAAAGCGAAGAACATGGTCAACAAGACTAAACGACAGCCTACAGATTGGGAAAAGATCTTCACCAACCCCACATCAGACAGAGGACTTACCTCCAAAATATACAAAGAACTCAAGAAACTGGTCATCAAAAGAACAAATAATCCAACAACAACAAAAAAAAATGGAGTACAGACCTAAACAGAGAACTCTGAACAGAGGAATCTAAAATGACTGAAAGACACTTAAGGAAATGTTCGAGATCTTTAGCCATCAGAGAAACGCAAATCAAAACAACTCTGAGATTCCATCTTACACCTGTAAGAATGGCCAAGATCAAAAACACTGATGACAACTTATGCTGCAGAGGATGTGGGGTAAAGGGAACACTCCTCCATTACTGGTGGTAGTGCCAACTAGTACAACCACTTTGGAAGTCAGCGATTTCTCAGAAAATTAGGAAACAAACTACCTCAGGACCCAGCAATATTACTTTTGGTTATACACCCAAAGAACACTCAATTGTACCACAAGGACATGTGCTCAGCTATGTTCATAGTAGCATTATTTGTAATAGACAGAACCTGGAAACAACCTAAATGCCCTTTGACCAAAGAATAAATAAAGAAAATGTGGTACATTTACACAATGAAGTACAACACAGTGGGGAAAAAATGACATCTTAAAATTTGCAGGCAAATAGATAGATCTAGAAAACACCATACTGAGTGAGGTAACCCAGAGCCAGAAAGACAAATATAGTATGTACTCACTCATAAGTGGTTTTTAAACACAAAGCAAAGAAAAACCAGCCTACAATTCACAATCCCAGAGAACCTAGACAAATAAAGGAGGACCCTAAGAGAGACATACATGGATCTAATCTACATGGGAAGTAGAGAAAGACAAGATCTCCTGGGTAAATTGGGAGCATGGGGGCCATGGTGGGGCGGGGGGGGGGGGAGGACGAGTAGAAAAAATGTGTAGCTCAATAAGAACAACAAACAAGGACAACCGTCTACGGTGCCTAATCTCAGTGAAAGGAGTTCATGAAATTGGGATCTCCACTGCTTGAGGATCTAAGTTTTTAACCTCTCAAGTCCTTGTTTTCTCTTTAGGAGCTCAAATGCAGAATGTGTGAAGTTCTTTCTTTCAAAAAGTGGAAAAAGGAGGCCAAATCACGACGTTGATTTTTGGAAATTTGACTTCCACCAAAGACCGTTGTCTTGATTTTCCCTGATGGTGAGTCACGCATGAGGAATGCCATCATCATGCATGTGATGGCTGACTTTTCCTGATCATATACCTAATCACGTGTTAAGATGCCAAATGTTCTTCCAGAAATGGTTGTTATAAATCATTACAGAATTCTATGAAGTAACACAGTTTAAATCATGGAAATACAAACTGTTTTAATACTTTTCTTCCCTGTGAGTTGTCAGATGATGGGAGAATTCATTTCTTTAATATTAGCTGTGATGTTTGCCTATGTGTATATAGGTATACCCCATGAGTATTTGGTGCCTGACAAGTCAGAAGGGGGCGCTGGATCCCCTGGAACTGAGATATAGACAGTTGTGCGTCACCACATGGGTACTGGGAATAAAACCTAGATCCTCTGAAAGAGCAGACTCACTCTTAGCACCGAGTCACCTCTCTGGCCCCTGACAACACATTTGTGTGTGTATGTGCCTCTAACTGTAATTTTTCAGGTGGATTTCTACTATGGGAGCCATGGGTCAACATGCAGGAATACCACCTAGGAAGCTTGTTTGGGGGGGGCGGGCAAAGGAACCCTAGTCCACAGAGCATGTACTTACTATGTGTTCCCTGTTGTCTTTCATTTACTTTCATAGATCACGTATTTGAGGGAAAAGAATGCATTTCTGTTTATTTTATTGATGATCAAAAAGGAGACTTATATTTAATATTTTAGTTTTTGTTTCTGTTTGAGAATCTATACTCAATATAAATGCTTAGTAAATGCCAGTGCTATTCCTCTGCTCCATATTGACAGCTCTTAATTCATTAATGTAGTAATGCTTTTCTATATTTATTTATTTTGATGAGGCTCTGCAGACCTTCAGAGGGAATCATTGGTCACCATCTCATCCAAGCCTCTTGCTTCAACCCTTGTGTTTCCTTTAAGAATTCTATTTCAAATGCAAACACCCCGTCAGGCCTGTCCTCCATTCCATCCTTATTACCTGTTCTCTCCACAAACTCCTGCTAGTTTATGGTCTAGAGACTGCAATATCCGCCTAGACCTGGAACAGAGTATGTATTAGAGTATGGAAGAA